AAAAACAGACTGGATGATCTCAGTAAATGAATAAAATCTATTTCTGTTGTTCAGATGAAATACAGAGAAGCAGGAAAGAAGCAGATCAGCAGCTGCCTTTACTCTCTGCTGCCTGCGACTCTGGAGACGCAACAAGCTAAAGAGACGACAGAGCAGCTGAGCCAGGTGAGAGCAGAGCCAGGTGAGTACCTGGAACTAACGAGTTAGTTCCAGGTACTCAGAGTAACCAGAGTAACTCGTTAGTTACAGGTACTCAGAGTAACTCGTTAGTTCCAGGTAATCAGAGTAACTCGTTAGTTCCAGGTACTCAGAGTAATCAGAGTAACTCGTTAGTTCCAGGTACTCAGAGTAATCAGAGTAACTCGTTAGTTCCAGGTACTCAGAGTAACCAGAGTAACTCGTTAGTTCCAGGTACTCAGAGTAACTCGTTAGTTCCAGGTACTCAGAGTAATCACAGTAACATATTTGGTCTGAGCAGCTGAAGTACCAGGAGAGCAGCAGGAAGGAAATGTCCAGCAGCCATTATGCCACCATGCCGGAGACGTCAGAGACCAGCTTCGCCAGAGAAATCAGCGACCTGCAGAGTGAGGTAAGCAGCGTCATGTGACCTGGTCAGACCCAATCAGATCCACCATGTCGACCTGAAACTCTTCCTCAACAGGAAGGCCTTTGACCTTTAACCTTCCTGTTAGACTCTTTAGCTCATATTTGGTTTAATATTAGAAATGGATTTTCAGAGCAAATGGATGAACCTTTAATGGACTAATGACTCTGTACCGTGTCATTCTTCTGAGCTAAAGTCTCATGTGCTAATGCTGTTAGCATCACCTGATTCTGAATTTCTGACATTCCTGCTTCCTTGAGATTCCAGGACAGTTTTTAACATCCAGTCAATACCAAACAGTTTCTCTCGTGACCTGAACATGTAATCTGGTCTCCATCCTCTAGAAGATCTGCGGCTCCTTTTCTCACATTTATTTTATTCAGTGTTTGAAGCTGAAGCTCTCGGCGCAATGTCCTGCAGAGCCGCAGCGTCTCTGATGTTTCATGAATCATCGTTTGATTAGCATCACAAAGACGATCAAAGAGTCGCAGCTTTTTAACGCTGATGAGGCGATAAGCTCAGAGTTAACGAGGTTCTGCTCAGCATCAGCCCGACCCGCCAGGAAAATGTTCTGGAAGAGCAGAAATGTGTTTATGCCGCTCATGATAAACTGGATTATTAATCTCCTGTTTTGTGTTGAAGGTTAAATACAAGCAGGACGGGATGAGGAGCGTCAGTCAGAGTCTCTACAGTCGGCTGCCAGAAACGGCTGAGATGAAGTTCGTTAAAGACGTTTCTGAGCTGCAGAGCCAGGTGAGCAAACGGACCGGGTCGGGCTGCAGAACCGGGCCTGAAACCCAAACCCAACGCAGCTGATCCGAGACATTCAGCCAAAACTGGAAACCAAAAGTTTATCTCATGTTTCACAACATGGATCTGAAGCTTTTCCAGGTTTTTACTAGAAAATGTCCAGATGGACATAAAAGTATGGACACAGATATTAAAACCAAAGGTTCATAGCTAGTCTATATATTATTAAAGTAATAAAGGTTTAAAAGCTCCTTTTGCTTTTTAAATGTTTGATTCTTTGCTGTTGCAGATGAGATACAAGCAGGGCAGGAAGGAAGTGAGCCGCTCGCTGTTTTCCTCGCTGCCTCAGACGCTGGAGACGATTCACGCCAAGGAGGTTTCTGATCTGATCAATGAGGTAACGAACGTTTCACTGAAACATCACAGGACCAGTCCACTCATCTCACATGTTCTCACACTAAACAATAAACCATTTTTCTACAAATCATTATTCAAAAGCAAACCTCAAAGTGTTGCTTTTACTCAAGATAACAAAATGTACATAGTTTTTTATTAATTGCTTTCTTAACCTGTGAGTTATGGTTGAGCTACATGAAACTGGACTGTGTAGCTGTAGTTTAAGGCAGTGAGCTGAGTCCTGAGCCCTGTGGGACAACGTAGTTAATTTAACTGATGATTTTTAGTTCTCTGTTTGTTTTCCTCCAGAGGAAATACAGAGATTCAGTGAAGAGAGATCTGAGCTGCAGCCTCTTCCACCAGCTGCCCAAGACGCTGGAGACGCTCCATGCTAAGGACGTCTCTGACCTGCTGAGCCAGGTCTCTGCAGAAATGACTAAAACCTGAATCCTGTTTTCCTCACTGCGGGATGAAGAATCTCATCATCCTTCGGTTTCTTTGTTTTTCAGGTAAAATATAAAGAAGACGGTAAGAAGGAGATGAATGTGAACCTGTACTCTGTGATGCCTGAGACCATCGACACGCAACACGCCAAGGAGGCTTCGGAGCTGCAGAGTGACGTACGGGACTTTGACTAGGACAGCAGAGTAACGCTGATCGCACAGCAGAATAAATGAATAAAACAGCAGAAAATAACAGAAACGCATAAAAACCCAAAACTGATTAAAAAAAACCATTGTTTTATTCATAGATAATAAACATTTTTCCTTATATTTATTATATTTTAAATGAAAATGAATTTTAAACATTTTCTACTTGGTGAAAATCTTGACATTAACGTTTCTCATAAAAAACATATTTCCTATATTTGCTTATGTAATCATAATTGTTCTTATCGTCTCTTTGCTAACCAGGACAGTAATTTTATTTTGTTTTATCTGAGTAAATGTGAGATTTAATATTAAAAATAGCCTATCATTTTTGACCAATTGTTTCTGTTTTCTTGTTTTGCGATTTATTGAGTTATTTCACATTTTTTCCTTTTAATGTTAGAGAAAAGTAAAACAGCGTAAAACATCTTCCTGAGGTTCTTCAGGTTTTGTAACGAATCGTCTCCTGCAGGTGAAATATAAAGAAGGCGTGAAGGAGATCCAGAGCAGTTTGTACCATCAGATGCCTGAAACTACGGAAACCCAGATGGCCAAACATCTGTCAGAGCTGCAGAGCGACGTACGAACATGACAGCTTTTCATTGGTGAAATAGTTTAGTAAAATAATCATATCATACACTATAAATGACTTTTCCAGAACTTGGTAAATATGCCTGAAAAGTCTTGTTTGAATCAGATCATTAAATCTAGTTGATGGAGAATCTCGGCTTAAATTTCCAGACTAAATACAAAGAAGCTGGAAGGAAGGAGATGAGGGTCAACCTGTACTCTCAGCTCCACAACAACCTGGAGATCCAGAGAGCGAAGGAAGCTGCAGAGCTGCAGAGCGAGGTGATGAGGATGAGGATGAGGAGGAGGAGGAGGATGATCAGGATGATGTGATGAGGATGATGAGGAGGAGGATGATTCTCCTAGTTTCCTTTCCAATGATATAAAATTAAATAAAATAAATTTATGTCTCTTTGTTTCAGGAGTTTCTTCTGTCAAAAACTTTACTTATAAGTCAAAGAAGATGATAATTAGGTTTCCAGTGATCATAGAACAGTATTTAAAAGATGTTGTCCTGTTTTTGTTTTTAAATGATTTTTAACAAAAGCAAAAGTCCTGGTGCTGAGTGGTGAGCCCTGTGGAACGCCACACGCTGTGTTTTAGCAGCATTAATGTGTCGCTTGCTGCAGTGTTTGAAAGTTTTAAATTATTTAACGGTTTATTTCTTGAACAGATTAAATATAAAGAAAGTGGGAAGAAGGAAATGAGCGGCTCTTTGTACTCGACTCTCCCTGACACTCTGGAAACCAGCTTCGCCAGAGACATGACTGACCTACTGAGTGAGGTACATTCAACTAAACACTCACGGATTCATGGTTTCTTCTGCTTCTGTGGATTATTTGTTGCTGCTGGATTTGCTCCTAGTTTATAGATTGATTTTATTTATTGATTGAAAAATCAATATGTTGATGCTCTACTTGTTTAAATGTTTCCTTTAACTCTGTAAATGTGATTTATTTGAACTGATTATCTGATGAATGAAATGGTTCTGAAGTGGATAAATGAATCTGCAGCTTTGGCTCAGTCAGATAACATGAATTATACATACATGAGTTACTTAAACATTTGTGAAAAATATGAAATAAAGATGGAGGGAGAGACTCTAATAAATTCACTTTTAATGATTTATCAATAATGATGTTTTCCCTCTGATGGTAAGAAACCAGATCAAAGAGTCTGAAATTCATCCGCTTTGTGTTATTAGATTGATGAGTTTTACTTTTATTTTCAGTGTTTTTCATTTTGTTGCAGAATAAATACAAAGAGGACGGGAAGAGGAGCCTGTCTCAGAGTTTTTACTCTCAGCTCCCAGAAACAGCAGAGACTCAGTTTGCTAAAACTGTCTCTGAGCTGCAGAGTGAGGTAATAAAACCTTCATCATTTCAAACATCCAACCAGGAATAAGAAGCAGAATGAAAGCAGAGAGAACCCAGTTATGCAGATGACAGACGTGTTTCAGATGAATCAGTTTAAACATGGAGAACTGATTCTTTTAAACATGGAGAACTGATTCCTTAAACATGGAGAACTGATTCTTTAAACATGAACTGATTCTTTTTGTTCATAATCAGATGAAATATAAGGAATCAGGGAAGAAAGAGTCGATGAACTCTCTGTACTCGACTCTACCGGAGACTCTGGAAACGCAGCATGCTAAGGAGGCGACGCAGCTGCAGAGCCAGGTAACCCCCAACTCTGTCCAACACTGGGACCGCGACCTCTGACCTCCAACAACTTATAGGACCTCATTTTGCAGGAACCGACAGAAAGAATCCTATCTGACTCAATCAGTCACTTTTTATTTCCATTGTTACTTCAGTTTATTTGTTTGATTTCCATTTACAGAATTCGAATAAGGTTGAGCTCTGAACTTTGACTGGACCATTTGCAACATTTGTTTGCTGTTTATGATCATTGATGAATCAACAGACTGGAGCATTTACTGTACAAACGTCAGTTTTCACTGCAGCCTGGTGTGTGTGTGTGTGTGTGTCTGTGTGTGTGTGTGTGTGTGCGTGTGTGTGTGTGTGTGTGTGTGTATGTCTGTGTGTGTGTGTGTGTGTGTATGTGTGTGTTGCTCCTCCAGCTGACATACAAACAGAACCAGCCGGTTGGATCCAGTATCTTCCACCTGATGCCAGAAACCATCAACACGCAGTTTGTCCGGCAGCAGACGGAGATGCTGAGTGAGGTACCACTTCCTGTCTGCTGACCTCTACTTCCTGTCTACTGACCTCTATTTCCTGTCTGCTGACCTGTACTTCCTGTCTGCTGACCTGTACTTCCTGTCTGCTCACCTTTACTTCCTGTCTACTGACCTCTATTTCCTGTCTGCTGACCTCTACTTCCTGTCTACTGACCTCTACTTCCTGTCTGCTGACCTGTACTTCCTGTCTGTTGACCTCTACTTCCTGTCTGCTGACATGTACTTCCTGTCTGCTGACCTGTACTTCCTGTCTGCTGACCTGTACTTCCTGTCTGTTGACCTCTACTTCCTGTCTGCTGACCTGTACTTCCTGTCTGCTGACCTGTACTTCCTGTCTGCTGACCTCTATTTCCTGTCTGCTGACCTCTACTTCCTGTCTGCTGACCTCTACTTCCTGTCTACTCACCTCTACTTCCTGTCTGCTTACCTGTACTTCCTGTCTACTCACCTCTACTTCCTGTCTGCTGACCTTTACTTCCTGTCTGCTGACCTCTACTTCCTGTCTGCTGACCTCTACTTCCTGTCTGCTGACCTGTACTTCCTGTCTGCTGACCTGTACTTCCTGTCTGCTGACCTCTACTTCCTGTCTGCTTACCTGTACTTCCTGTCTGCTGACCTCTACTTCCTGTCTACTCACCTCTATTTCCTGTCTGCTGACCTGTACTTCCTGTCTGCTGACCTCTACTTCCTGTCTACTCACCTCTACTTCCTGTCTGCTTACCTGTACTTCCTGTCTACTCACCTCTACTTCCTGTCTGCTGACCTGTACTTCCTGTCTGCTGACCTCTACTTCCTGTCTACTCACCTCTACTTCCTGTCTGCTTACCTGTACTTCCTGTCTACTCACCTCTACTTCCTGTCTGCTGACCTGTACTTCCTGTCTGCTGACCTCTACTTCCTGTCTGCTGACCTCTACTTCCTGTCTGCTGACCTGTACTTCCTGTCTGCTGACCGGTACTTCCTGTCTGCTGACCTGTACTTCCTGTCTGCTGACCTGTACTTCCTGTCTGCTGACCTCTACTTCCTGTCTGCTGACCTCTACTTCCTGTCTTGGAGCTTCCATCTGTGACTGTCTGATCCTGCAGGCCTGAAGCTTAGTGAATGATTCTGTCTGGTTTCCCGACCAGGTGAAGTACAAAGCAGACGGGATGAAGGATCTGAGCCTCTCTCTTCTCTCTGCTTCCTGACTCTCTGGACATGCTGAGAGCCAAAGAGCTGACGGAGCTGCAGAGCCAGGTGGGAACACCGTCTTCCTCTGAACAACATCCAGAGGAACCTCATCCTTCCTCCTTCAGCTAACAGCATCATGCAAACTGGATATTTCTCAGTTCTGTTTTAGTCTGAAGCCTCAGGAGAAAAACTAAAGAGGATCCAGTTGGTTCGGAGGAAACTGTTGAGCTGAAACTGTTTTTACTCTTCAGGCAAAATACAAAGAGGCCAGTAAGAAGCAGAGTTCATCGTCTCTGTTCCACCGACTGCCTGAAACTCTGGAGATGCAACACGCCAAGGAGGCGACGCGTCTGCAGAGCCAGGTACGACAACGAGCTGCTGGAGACGTTGGGTTCTGGAAGGACTAAATCAGCTAAAGGGACTGATGATCGCTGCTATGTTGGATAACGTCTCTTTTAGCTGCTCTATAAAGAAGGAGTGAAGAAGGAGCTGCAGTGTCCGGTTTACCACCAGCTTCCTGAAACTCTGGAGACGCACTTCGCCGCGAGGTCGGCCTCATGCAGAGCCAAGTAGGAGCCAACAGACCAGATCAGCTGATTACTAACATCCAACAGGAACCAGGAACAAATGGATCCGACAGGCAGAACCTTCAGAATAAATGCTTTTAAAATCAACCTTTGATTTGTGGTAAAAATCTGAATCTGTTCAGGAACAAACAGCAAAATATCAAATAAACATTAATATGATTTAATACATGCAGTGGAAACTCTTAGATTATATGTATCAGGAAATGAATCTTCAGATTTTATTTGCTGTTTTACTTTTATTGTTCCTGCTTCTATAGATGGATTTGAAATTAAAATAAGAAACAATAATGAGGCAGGAAACATGATGAAGATGAGTGGAAACATCTTCAGGATGACAGCAGCTCCTGCATTTAATAACAATAATAATAATGACAATAATAATCATGTTCCTCTGACTGCAGCACAGATACACAGCGGAGGGGAAGCAGCTTCTCTCTCAGAGCGTTTTCTCTCAGCTGCCAGAAACCAGAGACATCAAGTCGGCTTTAGCCGCCGCTGAGCTGCAGAGCGAGGTGAGAGCAGAAACGTCTGGATCCATAGGAACGAGTCCGTCTTCATCACAACGCTGTGATGAAGACGCTGTGACGAAGACGCTGTGATGAAGACGCTGTGATGAAGACGCTGTGACGAAGACGCTGTGACGAAGACGCTGTGATGAAGACGCTGTGATGAAGACACTGTGACGAAGACGCTGTGATGAAGACGCTGTGATGAAGAGTGAAGCTGCTGCAGGTTCTGACGGTTAAACTCTGTTTCAGAACAAGTACAAATCGTCGGGCCGACAGCAGGACGGCAGCAGCCTCTACTCTGTGATGCCAGAAACTCTGGAGACCCGACATGCCAAGCAGGTTTCTGAGATGCAGAGCCAGGTACACACACACACACACACACACACACACACACACACACACACACACACACACACACACACACACACACACACACACACACACTTAGAAAGGCTAACTATCCTGACTCATATTTCAGCCTACAGGAAGCTGGAGGACCCGGTGAGAACCTTCATGTTCTGGTTTTAAAGTAGTTTGCTGCTGATTCTGTCTTATTATAAAGTTTATTTTTGTCAGCTTCCATAATGAGATGTTTGATGTGAAGCATTAAGTGTGATGCTGTGTGGTCCAGCCTGCAGGCTGCCTGAGCGTCCTGCTGTTCTTACCGCCTGCTTGTCGCCTGTCAGGTCCGGTATCAGTCGGACCTGAAGCAGCTGCAGTCCAGCTTGTTCTCCAGCCTTCCTCAGACGCTGCAGACCCAGCGGGCCAAAGAGGTGACCGACCTGCAGAGCCAGGTGAGCAGCTGGTCGTCTGCAGGTCAAACAGCAGAAACAATGAGATGAACCATGTGATCAAACGACATCATCATGTTTTAAAGTTCAGATCAATTTATCACCTACAACCTCAAACTGCTTCCTCATCATTTCAACTTTTCATAACTTTTTATAATTCATTTTTATAATTTTCATTTGTATAACCAGACTAAAGAAATATGCTAAACGTGTCAGAAAGCAGCTGGCATGAGGAGCTTCAGTTAAAACTCAGGTTAAACTCACAACATGACGTCATAAATGCTGCACTGTCTTTATTTTAGCTCAGTGATTCTCCTCATAATCAGGCTTTTCTTCTTCTACATTAAAATGAATGTCATGCCACCTAAACATTCTCAGTTCCTCTGGAGTTTTTCTCCACGTTATTTTTGCTTAAATGAATGAAGCCTCCCAGGTTTTCTGATTTATTTAATGCTGGAGACATTTGCTGGATGAGCTCAGCGTGTTGTCATGGTGTTGTGGCTGCAGGTGAAGTATAAGGCGGACCATCAGAAGGACTCGCCGTCTCTGTACCAGCAGCTCAGCGAGACGCCGGAGATGCAGCGGTCCCGGCAGGTTCTGGAGGTCCAGAGCGAGGTTTGGCTCGGCGCTCTGAAAGCTGCTGCTGCTCTCTGCTGCTGCTCTCTGCTGCTGCTCAGCTGCTGCTGTCCTGCAGGTGAAGTACAGGAAGGACCTGGAGGATCTGCCCGGCTCGCTGTTCGCTCTGCTGCCTGAAACCCTGCAGACGCAGTTCGTTAAGGAAATGGCCGAGACGCACAGCGAGGTGACAACCTGCAGCTTAACATCAGATCACATTTAAAAATACATTCAGAGCTTCAAACATGCTGACGTCTGATTGGTCTGCCGCTGATAAATCTGACCAATCAAGTCAGAGAACGCTGCAGCAGCAGATAGAGGTCAGAGGTCAGATGTGATAAGGAGGCTGACTGGTCCGTGTGTCCCGTCAGGTGAAGTACAAGCAGGCGGCGAAGGAGCAGGCGGCTTCATCTCTTTACTCCTCGCTGCCTGAAACCCTGGAGACCCGACACGCCAAAGACGCTGCAGCGCTGCAGAGCCGCGTGAGTTTCTGTCCCTGCTGCTCCTCCGCCTGACGCAACCGGCTCACCGGCCGACTGACGCCGTCGCTCTGATCTCCGTCTCCACAGAAAAAATACTGCGAGGAAGGAAGGAGGGAGATGAGCTGCCCTCTGTACGCCCAGCTGGCTGAAACAGCAGAAACTCAGTTTGCCAGAGAGGTTTCAGAAATCCAGAGCGAGGTACGGTTCTGACCTGATCGGGTTTCAGTTTGGCTACGACCCGGCCCAGAGGTCGTGACCTTCAGCCAGAAGAGCTGGGTTGTAAGGTTTCCTGGTACCGAGACGATCTCTGCTGTCGGGTCGATTCGGGTTTTGTCTGCAGTACTGATGGTTCTGCTCCCATCTGTAGAGCTGACCCGATAAGTAAAGGTCTGGATTCATTGTGGTTCTGGATCCAAACGGCTGAAAAGTTCTTCCTCTGCAGCTTGTTGGACTCGGTATCAGAGACCCGAATCCTGGTTCAGACCAAACAACCAGAACCACTGTTTGCTCCGAATCTGGTCTTAGTCTGCTGGTCCGGTTCTGGTGTGGACACAGACCAGCTGCAGGTCCCAGAAGGATCTGGAGTTTGAGGAAACTCTGGGTTTCCTTCCTGAACAGCAACGTAGCAGCAACATGCTAAATAATGAGAGGTTTTCCTGCTTTTGGATCTTCAGAACAAATATAAGGAAGGAGGGAAGAAGATCCAGACGGTCAGCGTTTACTCTCAGCTCCCAGAAACCAACCAAACCCAGTTCGCTAAAACCGTTTCTGAGATCCAGAGTCAGGTGAAACCACAAGTTTTCTGAGATCAACCTGAACCTGAAATGTGTGTCTGTCACTTTAAATCCTGCTGTCGTGTTTCAGGTGAAATATAAAGAGTCAGGAAAAAAAGAAACGTCCAGCAGTTTGTACTCAAAGCTTCCTGAGACTCTGGAGACGCAGCATGCGAAAGACGCGACGCAGCTACAGAGCCAGGTCCGCTCCTTCATCGCTCGTCTTCGTCACTCGTCTTCGTCACTCATCTTCATCCCTCGTCTTCCTCGCTGACATCACTTTGTGTTTCCAGGTGAAGTACAAGCAGCCGCTCAGCGTCTCTCTGTTCCACCGCCTTCCTGAGACGACGGAGACGCGGCTCGCCAAGGAGCTCAGAGACGTTTACAGCCAGGTAAACCCTCAGCCGGGTCGCCGTGGCCGTCGCCGTGGAGACGCTGCGGTCAGCTGTGATTGGTTGATTCCCTCAGGTGAAGTACAGAGAGGAGGGGAAGAAGGAGATGAGCAGGAGCCTTTACTCCCGCCTCCCGGAGACGGAGGAGACGCAGCGGGCCAGAGAGACGGCCGAGATCCAGAGCCAGGTGACCCTGAACGCATCACGCAGCTGCAGTCCGTCTGTTTCAATCAATCAGTTTCAATCAATTTCAATCAATCAGTTTCAATCAATTTCAATCAATCAGTTTCAATCAATCAGTTTCAATCAATCAGTTTCAATCAGTTTACATTTTCTAAGTGTTAATATTTACATTGATGGATGAAATGTTTTAAATTTTGACATAAAAAATGTGCTTCAACATTAATAGTTAATGAATCTTCATAGTTTGTTGTATTTTGTTTGTCTCCTCATATTTGGACCTCTTACTATCAGAGGTTTATTAAATATATTTATGTCATCTTTCTGTCCTAGTCAAAGTACAGGAAGGACCTGGAGGATCTGCCCAGCCCTCTGTTCTCTCTGCTGCCTGAAACTCTGCAGACGCAGTTTGTTAAAGACATGAGCGAGACGCACAGCGAGGCGAGGGACAAATGTTTTTATTCATATTTCACCACAGAGTTTAGTTACAGAAATATCTGGTTCCTTTGTCAATTAGTAGAATTATGCCACATATATTTGTTGGTTAGATATTTTTATTTCAATGTTTTGATGTACCTGCTCCTGCGTCCTGTGCAGGTTAAATACCGGGAGGCGAGCAGGAAGCAGAGCGGCGGCGCTCTGTTCCACCGGCTGCCCGACACGCTGGAGACGCGCCGCGTTAAAGACGTTACTGAGCTGCAGAGCCAGGTGAACACATGAATTATTCACCCTACGCTTCTCAGCCCTGAATATTTCAGCATAAAACATCAGAGCGGCTCGTTCCCATCGTTCCTTAGCAGAGTTCACTTGTTCTGGTTCAAAAACATTTTCTCTCTAAGTGAAGCTGCAGACAGACTAAAACAAACTGTGATGTCAGAATAGTTTCATTTCTCTACAGGCCTGTTAGTGAGAAGAACTGAACCAGAACCAAACATCTGGAGCTTCAACGCATTAAAACCAGATTCTGGAGAAAAACCTGAAACATAAAAATAACCTGAACAAATCCCACTGCTGTAGTTTGATGCATTAAAAATAATTCATGAATCGTCTGGTTTTCATAAACAATGCAGCTGAGAATCATCTTTATCCTGCTTTAAACCCAGAGGTCTGAGGTCGGCGCCCTGTGGAACTCCATCCATGTCAAACTGTCTCATTACTGGGTTTAAATCGGTTCCTTTAATTCAGGAAAGGTGTATAGTCAAAGTCCAGATCTTAACGAACTCAGCCGGTGAACTTCTGTTTGTGTTGCAGTTTAAATACAAGCAGAGCGGCAAGAAGTTCTTGTCGTCTAGTTTCTACGCTCAGCTGCCAAAGACCGCAGAGACGGAGCTCGCCGCCAAGATGGCCGACCTGCTGAGCGAGGTGAAAGGTCACACCCTGGTCTCTGTTTGCTGGTGGAAACGGTTCCTGATTCGTCTTTTCCTGCAGAACAAATACAAAGAGGACGGCGTGAAGAGCCGCTCACGCAGCCTCTACGCCCAGCTGCCGGAAACCAGCGAGATCAACTTCGCTAAGACAGTTTCTGAGCTGCAGAGCGAGGTGAGAGCGACTCAGACCGGACCAGAGTCCACTTCCTGAGCAGAGTCCACTTCCTGAGTAGAGTCCACTTCCTGTCTGAACGTCTGACCGATGACGCTTCGTCCAGGTTAAATACAAGGAGGCCAGCAGGAAGGAGGCGGGCAGCTGTCTGTACCAGCGGCTGCCTCAGACTCTGGAGACTCAACATGCCAAGGACGCCGCACAGCTGCAGAGTGAGGTACAGAGGGAACCGGGCCAGAACCAGCAGAACCTCAGGAGGTTCTGATCTGCAACCAACAGTTACACA